GTTCGAGTTCATGCCTTTAGTAAAAACATCTCCCCCCTCCCCCCCCTTTCACTCACCACCAGGAAGTATAAAAAAGGGCCAACAAAAATAGCTTGGATTCAGCTACAATGGAAGTCAGCTACTTAAATCATACATTTAGATAGGCAAAAAACTAATGTAGTGCAGCTCTTCTATCCCACACAGTAAATAATGCTCTTAGCTTACTTGGTCCTGAAGTGTCTGATGAAAAGGAGACCAAGCCTGCCAGAAGTTAGGTATTGCCCAGATATACTTAATGTTTTTGCATTTGGTTCCAGTCTACTTCTCTTTATTACAGTGCCACATGGTTTATGCAAGATTATTCTACCCATGCTTCATTTGCAACCTTCCTTCATTATTTTGCCTTCTCCCTCACTCTCTTCCTATCAGTTAAAAAGCTATTAGAAATATATGGCTAAAAATAAACTGTGATGCAGTATATTGGAAAAAGATGGGATTCAGTTTTGATTAGGAACACTTGACCATAAAGCTATGCTTCTCTTAAACAGCAGTAGCAGCTAGAAAAGGCAAGTTTTCAGGTTTCATTTGTTTTTACTGACAATTTTCTTGTACTGCTTACATATAAAGTATTTTAATTTTTACATACATGTTTTAAATAAATAACTGCTCTTTAAAAATGAATATTTGTGGAAAAAGATTAAAGCTAATAATTAGTTGTGATCATTTAAATGAGGACCAAGCTATGTAACTGAAGTCAATAATTTAAGTTCCATATTAGTCCTACTAAACTCAGCATTTTAGGTAAGAAATAAGATGCAGCAGTGTAAAAAACAAACAAACAAAAAAAAACAAAACACTATATTACTTAAAAGAAATATACACACACAAGTTTCAATCCAATTATTACTACTGACAAGATGAAGAACCTACAAGCAGAAACGTTATGATACCTCATCAGTTATTACTGGTGAAAAAATGTATGTATATATTTAACTCTTAGTAAAAGTGGGTACTGTCACAAGACCTGAGATGTTTACTGAGACACGTATGAATATATTAAATAAAATTTCCCACTTGTCTTAACATTTAGTCCCTAGAATACACTGGTTACTTTCATGAGCCAGTATCCAATGTGATCTCTTGGGCTGGATGTATCAGTTGGAATAATACTCTGGAAAAAAAAACGTCACTAGCAGAACTATATGAGCAGTGTGACTGTTATTTGAAAGCCTACTCAAGAACTGTGTTTTCATGAGTAGAAAGGAAGAACTCTCAGTTCTACTCAAATCTAGTGAAATCCCAAAGCACACATTCTGTGCATTGCTTATTTGCGTGACTTAAGGCTGCATTTGGCTTGCATTTAGACTCAAGTGTTTTTGTGACTGAACTGTGACAATATTTTTAATATCTCTCTTTTCTACTACACAGAAACCATGTTTATAGCAGATATTTAAGCTTACTTTACTATTAGTACAACTGATGGTTCAGCTGTTACATGTACACAATCACTTACCATCACCCAGCTGGTGGTAAAGACTCAGAAAAAGTCCTCTCGCCTTATAATCTTTCAATTGCTTATTCTAAATAGGCACAATGGTAACTAATGGAACAGGCTGTGTATAATATAGTCAGCGTAATTACTACCAAAACCATTGTAAAACCATTACTACCAAGACCACTGTAAAATGAGTTGCAGAATAGAGGTATAGTTGAAACAGAAACAAGTTGTTAAAAAAGTTCTTGCAAAATGAAATGGGAAATTTCTAGATGATCTATTGCTTAAGTTGCCATGTCCACCTGGATATCCTAAGCAGCTATATTCTATATTTATAGGTGAGGAATAAAAGCCCATGTAGTTCAAGTTGCACAGGAAATTCAAATATTCACAAAATTTGTTGTTTTCCGAGGCCAGATCCTCACAGCTTTTAATAGCTTTATTAATTTTAAGTTAATAAATTTAATATTTTTTTAAAAATAGGAGATGCTCTGTTGAAGAACTGACTTCAGCCCTATCACTTTTGCCTATACTAATCCTCTGTTGTGGAAACACAGCCTCAACATTCTTCATTTGGTATTACAGCAACTATATGATAACTATTATAGTTGTTATAGCAACAGATATGAGAGAATGGCAAACAAACAAATAAAATAAAACAAACGCACTACCACTCTGGAAAGTTTAAGTTGAAAAGAATACTGAAATCCTGGGTCATGGAAGCCAATACCTAAAACTAAGATTTGATCATTGCTATCTAGGAAAGATGTCGAGAACTGGAGATATTAACTGTCAAAGGTTTTGATGGGGACATAATTCAATTATATGATTACAAAATGTGAACATTTAGAGACTACTGAATTAGTAAATCTAGTGGTACCTTGTCTTCCTTCCTTGTGCATTTATGAAGTTTAGAAACATTTATGGCAAGAACAGCTGAATGCTAGTTAAGGACACAGACAGGATGTATGTAAACTTCAGCAGCATGAGTCAAGTTCCAAACTATTTTGATAAATAAATAAATAAAAAGCCTTACTCGCTATATTTATATGGTATTGGCAACTTACTGGCAACTCCTATTAAAAAACAACAACAACAAAAAAAAAAAACACAAAAAACTTGTTTTCAGTTAGACATTGCTACATTAGGCATTGTAGTTTGGTTAACAGAGACATAGGTTGGGTGACTGTTCTCACCTGCTCACCTGTATCAGTTCACCCAGTCTCACCTAAGCAGTTCACTTATTCTCCATTACCAGGGTATATCATACCAAAATCACTCTAACACCAACTGCCTCTTAGGCACAGGCCCAGAAAATGTTACTCGTTTCATGTAGACAGTATCTCAGATTTCCATCTATATCAGTGTTGACTTGCAATTTACATACAACTTGTTCTCAAAACATCTCTAGAACTGAGTTAAATGGTATCCATTTTCAGCAAACACTCAGGGCAGCATCTAGTCAACTACTAGTTCCTCATGCTGTCCAAACACTGCATGCCTCCTACGGGATGTGCCCAATAGCATAGATACTCCATTACTTTGATTAAATCTCTCCATCATAAACAAGAAGTAAAATTAACAGGTACTTGTTAGCACTGAATCATGTCTCTTTATTGCAGTGTTTCTCTTTATTGCAATATAGTTTTAATTAGAGTTTACAAGACAGGCCTATGAGATCTAGTGAAGTATGGGGCACAGAAGATAGGTTCTTAAGGCATTCGTTTCTGCCTATTTAATAATTATGGTGATATACTGAACACTATGCAGGATATTAGATACATTCATTAGGATATTATCTTTACTCTCCAGGAGGGCATTCATTTTTTCATATTACTTAACAAATATGCAGTAATGTTAACCAATTTTAAATATTTATAAAAACATGGAAAACTAATCTGTTTTCATTTTATAAGCTTCCATTGCTAAAAAAAAAAAAACAAAAAAAAAAAAACTCCAAACTTAGATAAAACCCATTATTTTTGTTGTATTATCTCTGTCCTTGCTTGAAAGACAAAATCTTTGCTATAAATTTACACACCTACAGCTAGCAAACAAATTACCTTCTTGCTCAAATAAGGAAAAAAAAAAAAACAAACAAAACAAAACACAAAATCTGCATATGATATGTAAACTTTGAATGGCTTGAAAGGGATACATAAATAACAGTAGGTCTCCGCAGAGCAAACAGTAAAAATAGAGCTTGTAGTACATCTTCTTGTAGTACTCCATAATTTATTCCCACATAATTTGATATAGCCAACCTCAAATGAAAAAAAAGTAGAGAAGAAATTACAATTCAGAAATGCATTTCTGACACAACTCAGAAATGTATTTCTTGTCCATAAAAGCTAATGCAGCTGCATAACTTTCACTGGTAACACATAGAGTCAGGCTCTGTGCAGTAGATTTCTTCATGGCATTAGATGCTGTGATGGAGAGAACTGTGGTAATATTTTAATAAATGTTAAGAAATAAAGAGACTGAAACATTCTCCTAGCAGTTTAGCAAATTTTACACATATTGATACCTACTAGTTTCTACATTTTATAAACATCATTATTTACCTATCATCAGAATCTGTGATCTTGTGAGTTGCACTCAGCTGATGTTATACAAGTTACAATAAACTCTTTACAACACTGCTCATATGACTTAGTAGGTCCTGAATTTTCCTGACTTGCTATTGAAGTAGCTTTTCAGTAGTTGCACGGCATACCTTCAGTCATGTATGGCAGTGCATCAAGTTGTCTGCTACAGGCAAATAACACTAGAGCAATGGGACTAGAAATAAGGCAGAACACCACCACCAGTTTGCTGTCTTCGTTATACCTAAAGCATCACTAGTAAAGCCAGATTTCTCTACTCAGACACAGCATGCAAATAGCCACTGTAAATTTTCTCCTCACTGCTACTGCCAGGGACTATAATTTGCTTCTGGGACAATCCACATGCTTTAAATGGCAGTGGATTAGGTGAATTGTGCAGATGCCTGTGTTTTCCTGCTATCACCTCTCTGGTACTGTAGCCCCCTCCAGGCACAGGACCATATTCACATTTACCACATTACATATGAGGAATCAACACCTACTGCTATTACTAAAGCAATTCATCCAGACCTCACTTGAGCATAAAAGACCTGCAAGGAAGGAAGGCTGAAGGATAAATAAAGCGTGATAAAACATAGCCTGTGGGTCACTGGATGAGCACAGCTGTAACAAGGGAATAAATGACAATACCAAAACACAAAATAGCATTCACTTACAATAGGATCCACAGGCTGCTCTTCTTTCATGCTCAGATTGCAATGTAAGCCTCTGCCAGGCTGCTGCATCAGCACTTCTGCCATTAGTAACCTCATCCCTATTTTTACACTGCTGAGTTCATGTCTCTCAGAGTGAAAGATGTCCCCAAACCCAAAGACCGTAATGCCTATTCAGAACCTCCCCCTAGGTCAAACCTCCAAATCATCAACCCCTTTATCATCTAAATCAGAATTTTTACCTCAGAAAAGCCAAAAGCCTACCTTCTTTCTTCAGCAGCTTCCCAGCAGAGGTCTCGACTGACCAGCTGGCCTGATGCAGCCCAGCCTCCTCCCAGCTCTTCTCAGTGGCACCAATGCCCCAGGCCCAGGGAACCATCCCCACCTGAGGCTGACAAGCAGCTTGGCCCTAGCTCAGAGAGGCAATGAAGGACACCAGTAACTTCACCAGGACTATTTTGGCCCCTGGATCCATGCTCAAATACCTAAAGAAATTAGTAGCATGCACGGATAGCAAGATCAGTAGTCTACTGAGGCCAAAAGTGCTGGCTAGCAAGGACAGGATAAAATGCTTTCATCATGAAAACATGTATTTTGGATAGGTGACTGATCCCTCGTGGTTACATGTTGCAGTTATAGTGCAAAGAAGGAAACATATCTGCATGATAATATTTTAGTAATATTAACTGAGATGAAACAAAGCCTTCTTTCACATAGGCCTGCTGTATCCTGATACACTGAGGCAGGCAGGAAAAGCCATCTGTGAACAGAAAAGGTCTTAGGTATGCTCAGGCCTCTTTCACCAAAATATAAACCAAGGGTTTATATTAAAATGTTCATCTCACTAGATGTCCCAGGTAAGAAACCACAAAGTAACGCTGTGGTAAGTATCCCTGACTGCTACTGTTTTCAACAAATTTTAGATGTAGAAACAAGTCCCTGAAGAAAAGGCAAAAGTGCAAGGAACAAATACCCAAGCAACCTCAACTACTCTCTTTACTGATTAATCACACCTCTGAGCAATAACACACCTGCTGATGATTTAGTATGCAATTTTACAAGTGCCTAGAAAATCTTGGTCAAAGAAAACAACTTAAATATAAGCTTACTTTTTAAATCATACAGGTCCATGACATCCATGAAGTTGAGGATAAATTTCAAAGGGAATTTATGTAGCTATAGGCACTATTTTTTTTGTTGTTTTTATTATTTATCCATTAACAAATTCCATCTATTCTTCATCTCTGTATTCATACCTGTACCCTTAAACGATATATTTAAGATGTTCTTGTTCGTCAGAAACAAGTAGGATTAAAAGCTTTTTTACTATAGCACTTTTTTGAAATTTAAATATAATACTTGTCCAAATAAAATAGATAAAGCCCAAATCTCACTTAGATTTTTTGACATGCAGGAGATTGCCATTGTTCATTACAAAACCTGACTCTTCTTTGAGCAGGTTTTATTAATTAGTCATTGCTCTGATATCTGCTCTACTGGGGATGAAGTCAAAAACTGTTCCCACACCAGGCTCTAGAAATGAGCATAAAAATATGCCAGCCTACCAGTAACTTATTCCAAAGAAAAGAGGCATTGCATATAGCTGCAATGCTTCTTAACATACAGTTTTATATCATATTTACATGCACTAACATAATTTTTTAAGCAAAATTTTCAGATATGCTTTAGCTAAGTAGAAAAACATCACATCAAATGGTTGAAGGCAGGTATATATTCAAGCAGAGATTCCCTTGGTGCAGACAAAAGCCTGTCTTTTAAATACAAGCTTTGGTATAGGCAATCTTAATGAACTGAGACACAACAGAGTGACCACTGCAAAATGTGGACCATCCTGGAATACAAAACACTTTTCATCTAACTTCAGCTTTCAGAGACTCGAATTCAAGCCATGCCAGACAGAAATGAGGTTTAAAAAAAAAAAAAACAGAAACAAGTCTCTTCTTCAACATGCTCAGCTTATAAAAAAGGAGCATCAAAGAAGCACTTGCTGATGGCTTCCTGCAAATCTCCCACAAATCTGTAAAAATTACTCATAGTTTTAAGATAAAAAATGGCCTGATTTTTTTTCCACATTTTCAGAATATCAAAGATGCAAATGCAAAGTATTTTGTTGGTTTTGCACAAGGAAGTGACAAAGATAAAACTGTTCCTGAACCTTAACATTACTGCTCTGGACTGGCTAGTCTCAGAAATCATACTATCTTCAAATAGGTTTAGAATGACTTTTTTTTCCTCATTGCATATCAATTTATTTTAGAGCTTAGAATACCTGAGTACTTCAATGATATTACACCATTCAATCCATTAAAAAACAGGGTCAATTCATTTTTAAGTTCCAGTATACTTACATGTAACTCAGCTATAGATACTCTGTTGAATTTATATGTTAAGGCTGCAATATACTGCACATATTGCTAGTCATCCATAAAAGTTAAGGAAGGCTCAAAAATATGTTCAAAGACTTAGTGATGTATCATTTTTATATTACAAAATAAAAAGTATCATAGACTATTACAACTTGAAAAAAGTTTTAAATTGACTTGAAAGGGTAAGTCCATTTTTGGTATTTCAAAACAAAGGTGAACTCTAGCGTCTGCAAAGCTATGTGGAATTTTTGCACTTTTATGACCTATTTGTTTTATACTGTGTCATTGGTTTTCATTACATTTGCAGGAAACTTAATCAATAGTGAGTTTTTAAAATGCGTTTTTGGGTAAAAGCTTTTGACCTAAAATATTCTTCTTCTATCCAGAAATATTTTTATATTTGCATGATATTCTTCTTGTGTTCTGCTAAATTATGTTTAACCACCTGAGCTATCTTTTCAGATCTTAAAAATAAAGAGCATTCCTATGCTCACATTTCACCTAAATTTGCTATGAGAGAGTTGTATTTGTCTTTTGTATGCATGTTTCTATTCAATAACTTTAAATGAAAGATAACTACATATAAACAATGCATTAATTGAAAAGTCATTAACTACGTCTAATCATTTTCTTCTATCACCACCTGGCATGCAAAGCCACATTAATTATAAAGGGAACTAGAAATATTACTTTGAAATTATTGAAGGAAATGCAACACAGTTAATGACACTTCTCAAATAATAAATTCCACTTTTATCCTGCTTCTCAAATACTGCAAATACATTTCAAATACTAATGAATTATTTCTCTCAGCGCTTCTATGATGTCGAAAAGAGGGAAGAAATTAAAATAGTGAAAGATTACTTTATTTGTTTCAGATCATACCATCCACCATAGGACAAAGGAGGCTGGCGGTACGAGCAAAAACAGTTTAAAAATAAAGATATGAGGACTTTAAGATAATGACCTTGTAATGTTTCTGTTGTGCTCTGTAAACCTGGGAGTTTCTTACAAGAATATCTGCCACTGAGTTTGCTGGAGTAAGGAATTTCATTTTTAATTTTCTTCTTCATTGTCTATTTGCAATGATTAGTAAGATCCCAACCATTAAGGATTTTGGGGTCCATCAAGCTAGCTATGTGGTTTAAAGATGAGCAAACATTTCATTTGCTAAAAGTTCACAATACAGATTTGAGAAAGAAAAAGTGCACAACAGATAAAGGTAGTAACCAGTGGCAAACAGAATGTAGCACAATTTTTATCATAATTTCAGAATAATTTATGTACTCTGATTTACTTCAGTTGCACCAGAATTCCAGAAAATTAGACATTAGAAATGCACACTAACAGCTTGGCTGTAGCTGTAATTCAATCTTCTTAAATTTTATTAAGTTCAAATTGATGTTCATATTTTCAGACTTTAAATATACATACAAATACTGCAATGAATTTGTTCTTCATAGCTGCTCATTTTACCATTTTTTAGTGCAAGTTGAATAATTTTGGCACAGCAGTTTTCAACTGGGATGATTTCATTCAAAGTCATTAATGTTACTTATATGGCTGACCCACGTTTATCATGTACATTACAGTTAATGTTGCAAATAGTACAACTGAACATTACTAACATGATTGGTTACAAAATCTGTAGGACAATTAGTCTTTATATATTTTAAAGCCATTAACCATTCCTACATTGAAAGTAGATGGCACAATTTATAAACTAAATAGCTCTTTCATCCGTACTTCCCATGTTAGTCAGTAAATTAATGCTTTCAGAGTAATTTAAAATGTAAATTAATCTGGAAACACACAAAGTCCTGCTGAAAATACACTAATATATTAAATGGATGTTTTGTTCTCTGAGGAATCAAATTTTGAAATTGCTGTTTTGAGAAAGTTCAAGGAACCTTTTTTTTTTTTTTTTTTTTGTCACTTCTGACAAAAAAAACAAACATAGTCATGCTGTTCAAAAACTGTTTCCCAGCATTTGGTGCTTACATGGACCTCCTGACAAAAAGGAGGGAAATGTCAGATAAACACTGAAATAACTGACACCATATTTTAGTGTTGCAATTCTAATTTTCTTGCACAATTTTTCAATATAAGAATGCAAAAAGACAACTCATTTAGAATTATCATGACATGCATGATGTTTTTCTTTATAAAAATACTAAATATTTAACAAAAAATAGTAGACATAAAATAAAACGCTTGCTTCATATTATTACTCTGCCTGAAATCTCTAAACACGTAAATGTATAACACACAAAAACAATTTCTGGAAACAGAAATATAACCCAGAAATAAAGTTGATGAATATAAGTATCTTTGTAATACTAACGATAGCTGGAAAGAATGAACTGAACCAGAGAGAAGCTAAGTACAGACACAATGATGTTTATGATGCCCTAAACATGTGGCCTCAGCAGTCCCAACAGGCAAAGATTCTGATTTCAGAGACACCACTCCACTCCCTGATCTGAAGGAAGGAGGAGTAAGAACCTATGCTCTTGCTATCTCTTCTCCCTAATTGTGATTCCATATACAGCACACTAACAATACTTGTGTAAGCCTAGTTGTACAGCTATTAAATATACCTGTCTGACAGCAAAAGCAGAAAGCTTATGCATACCTGTAACAGTGTTTTGGATCACAGAACTGTACTTTTTCTGCCTAAAGTCAATGGGTTCACATTCATCTGAGTCTGTAATGAACATATAAATTTGAAGTTCTTGCATTCAGCTCTCAAAAACAGAAGAATAGTTTAAACAATAATTTAGATTACAATAGTAGGACTAATTATAGAATGTATGACCATGAAGATGACTTGTCAAGAAAATATAGGTAAGCAGAAACATACAGAAGTGCTTTGCTTTAAATGTAACATTTGATAATGAGAGCTACAATTACTAATGAAAGGACTTCAAAGATAAAACACACACACATACAAAAAGAATTTAAATGTAAATTACTTCTTGAAAAAGACATAGCTCCATGCAATGTTTTTGCATGGACTCCTACCAATGACAGCATTACAAGGATAATAGTAGAACACAAACCATAAGCAGCAAAAAAAACACTTGCCACAACAGGAGTTGCCTTTTTTTTTTCCAAAAAAAATTTCCTTCCCTATTTTTATGCATGTTGATCAGTGAGCAGGCAGATAAAAGAAAAATGGCAAGTCAGAACTATAAGACTGAGATTTTCCTCTCTATTCCTTCTCTTTGTTTCTGTTATCTTCCCCAACCACAACATCTATGCCTCAAATTTGTTTTCTTACAGCCCGTGCTCTTCTTCAGGCCCATCTTTCTTCCCTCCATCTAGGTCTTTCTTTATCTACCCCAGAAATCCTTCCTGAAACTAAACAAGGGTGTTTGTCTTATAAATCACATGCTCTTTGCTGCTGATTTCGAAGTTTTAAATAAACCACAGAGGGAATCCTAGCAGAACTCACTAGAGCTTTCCTCTGGTTTGTAGGGGGAAGAACGGTCTAAAACAAATGCAAACAAATGAAGCCCTAGCCTTAAGAGTCTTTATTACAATGTTTCT